CCTCCCCCGTCCTCGCCCGCCGTGGGGGCGGGGGGCTCCCCCAAACCCAGGAGGCAGAGTTGATCGAGAGCCAGCTGAAGGGCGCGCTCGTCTTCCAGCAGCCCTCGGTCCTTAGCGCTTCCCCCGAAACATCCTAGTTCTCCAAAGCCCCCATTTCTTTCCATTATTCCAGATACCACTAGACTAGGCATGGCGAAACAAAAGCTGGGGGAGAGAGAGAGGGAGAGAGAGAGAGAGAGGTGGTGGAAGGGAAAAGAGGAGAGAGGAGGGGAGGGGAGAGGAGAGGAGGGGTGTGTGTGGGGAGGGGGGAACAAAGAACTGGGGAGGGGGGAAGAAAGCGAGATAGAAAGATAGACCCTCCCCCTAAGCCCCCCTCCCCAAACACCCTGTAACCCGACTCCCCTCGCCCCAGCCCCCGGGGTGGGGGTGGGGGGAAAGAGAAGAAAAACCAAGAAAGCAGATCTCCTTTCCTCTCCGGGGGTGACGGGGGGCGGGGGGCTGCGGGATCTCTGCCCCCACCCCTCCCGCCTCGGACCTGGGAGTCTCTAGCCCCCGCCGTCCAGACGCCCCCGTTAGGCTCCCGCACCGAGCCCCAGTCCTGGAGCGGCGCTCAGTGGCCCCCAGTAGAGCCCAACCCCTTCCAGCGCTCAAACTCTTTTGTTTTAAATGAACTGGATGGAGCAGCATGGAACTGACGGGAGGGGGGCGCGCCGGGGGCGCCCGGGGCATGCCGGGAGTTGTAGTTTCCCGCCCTCGGGGGCGCGGGGACGAATTCCTTGACCCGAAGAGGATAGGGATGTGCCCTTCGGTCTTTATCCACAGCTCCAGGGCAAAGCTAGGGGTGGGGTGGAAGTCGAGGTCTCTAATTTTTAAGGGGCGGGTACAGGGCAGTGTGCAGAAACCCAGCGGGTTTGAAAAAGGCTAATGCTGTGCGCCCCCCTCCCAAGACTGGCTCTCTTCCCATCAAGGCCGGTCCTGGGGGCCCTCTTTCTTATGGTAATGAGGGGGGACAGGGGGCGGGGAGCGGCCCCCTGCTCCGTCACTGCGGCTTTCTCTCTCTCTCTCTCTCTCCCCCTCTCCCCCCGCCCTTCCCCCTCCCTGTCGCGCTCTCTCTCCCAGAGTCTATCCCGGCTCCGGGCCGCGGGGAGAGGATCTCCGCAGAGCAGACAAAGCCCGCAGCCGTGATGGGGGGAGAACCCAGCTCTGCCCTTTGTGGGGGCCAGGAAGGGGTGCCGGGCTGGGGGTGGGACCCCATAGCAAAGGATGGGGTCCCCTCATCCCTAAGCGGCAAGCCATCTCCCCTCATCCCCCCGCCCCCCAGTCTCGGAGATCTCAGAGGCACCGACCGGGAGGTGAGTTAGTTCACGTCCTTCTGATCAGTGGAGGGGTGGGGTGGGGCGGGGAGGGCTGTGGGTTGTGAGGTGAGGAGGTTGAGGGAGTGGGGGGGAGAGAAGTGGGGGACGGAGAGTGGGGAGGCGAGAAAAGTCTTAAAGGCCTGGTCTGACTTAACCATTTGGGGTGAGGGCCTTAAGCTTTGGGTGTGACAGAAGGAGGGAGGAGAGATGGGGATGGACTGGGACCTCAGGCGGCCTTCGGGCTTGGGCTGTGATTAAAGCTTAGCGGGCGATCTGTTCGTTAGCGCCCATCATCATTCCACTCTATCTCACTCACCTCTGTCCCATTGAAAACCCACTAATTCAGCTCCTTTGACTCTGGAAATTTATTTGGTGAGAATAAAAATAACTTTTTAAAGCTTGGGTAGTTAGGCACTTGGAGAAGGAGTTTGGGGAAGTTGCAGTGTAATGCAATCTTTTCTTCTCCCCTTACCCTAATATCTTCAGCATTTCTTTTGTTACCCTTTTTATGCCTGGGTCTTTCCCAGAAGAAGAAGGGATGGCACTGCAGCTTGAAGGCTTGAGGTTAGATTTTAAGAAGAACTTCCCAAAAGAGTTTTAGAAGAGTGGGTGGGTGAAGCACAATGGTAAATTGTCCTTTTCTGTAATGCCTTGGAAACCGAAAATCTGAACTAATTTGTGAGGTAACGTTCTGCTTAGAGGTAGGGGAATGGATGAGATGACCTCACAGACCTAGCACAGTGAGGCCTAGAGGGCCGAGTAATTTAGCCCTGGTTCCCTAAATGGATTCCTGAAGAGAGTGAATTTGCACACCAATGGGAGGGTGGGAACCTGAGCTGAGGATTTGGGGCCGGGGGAGGATGGCACATTGCGGGGCTCTTTCCCCTTTACTAGGCTGAAGATCCAGGGAAGGAGAGCCTCAACTGAGAAACCCCAGAACAACCTGGAGTCCGAGTCAGAGTCAGCGAGGGGGGCCTCCTGGATTGGGGATTTAACATAAGATTAACAATAAACCTTATGTGGGATTGGGTGCTCCTGCTGCCACTGAACAAGAGTGGAAAAGGAAGAACTGGAGAGACAGGGCCCTGGAGCATGGGCTGGTTCTGACTCTTGTCCCCTGTCTGCCCCAGGAACCTGGATTGGAGAAACTGTGATGCTGGGGACCGTGGGGCTCTACTTTGTGGACCAGGTGACTGTTTTTCACATTAATAGAAATAGCAAACAGTGGCATAGGATTTATTGTGGGTCAGGCATTTTTGTGGGGCCACCATCTGGTTTGAGCCTTTCTGTCCCCACCAAAATCAGATTCCCCCAGATACCCACCCTGAATTCGCCCTGTCTCCCCTTTCCTCCCCACTAAGCTAATTAAAGCAGGAGGTTAACGACCAAAGAAGCCTTGGGGATTTGGCCAGGGAAGAAAACAAAGGGCAGAAACAAGTGTGTGTGTGAGTGGGGAGGGGACAGCTGCTGATGAGGACAAGGCAGGCTGAGGGGCGGCGTGGGTTAGGCAGAGTCCCTGCTGGACCTACATCACGAATCGGCCCTCTGGGTAAGTTAATGTCCACCCTCAGGGTCCCGCTGGGACTCCAGACACACACCCTCTACAACAGAGGAGGCACAAACATGAACCCGGTGCCTGGAGGGCAGGGGGTGTGTGTGAACACATGTAGGGGCGTGGCATGGGTACACATGGGAGTGTATGCCTGCAGATCCCGTGGAGGAGTGCCCAGGTGCAGAGGCGCCCCAGGGTGGGCACCTTGAGGAGCTGGGTCCTTGGGGCGGGGTTTTCACAGGTCCTTCACTCTCCTGGTGAAGCTGGTGGTCTCCTTTGTTTCAGGTTTCTGTCCGTGGGCTCTCCTTTTCCCTGCTGCCCCTGTCTGCCCAATCTAGAATTAGGGCTACGAGAACAGAAGGCCTTACTTAAACAATACTCCCCACTCTGCCTTGTAACCAGAAAGGCATAGGCGGCATATCTCTCCCCTTCACGACCTTCAAGGACAGGACTATGTCTGTCATCTTTATCATTGTTCCCCACCCTAGCTGCCCAGTGTTGAGCACACAGCCCTGCTCAGAGCAGAGGGTCAGGGTGTGTCGGGTATAACTGCATTTTCAAAGCTCCGTGGTGTAAGAGGAAGAAGCAGGCCTCTGGAGACAAACACGCTGCTTGTGCCGCCACACTGGGCAGTCATTGACTGCCGAGCCTCAGTTTCCTCATCTCCCGGACGGTGATAATAGCCAAGTCCCTAGCACGGTGCCTGCTCATCCTGAGCGTTCACTCAGCGTCGTTTTCCTGGCCCTCGTTGTTCTCCCCTTGCAGTGAACTCTAGGCCAGATTGTGGTCTTCATTAATTTTCATTCATTCATTCAGCCAACCGCTTCCCATTGAGCTCCCGGGATATGCCAGGCACTGGAAGAGATTGTGACCCATCATGAGGCACTTGAAGTCAGTTCTAGGTCTAGACTTGCTGAAATAAGATTATTCCAAACGAACAGCAGATAATTCCAGAAATAATTCCTGTTAAACACTGGAATGCAGGCGAACAAACTTTCTCTCTCTCTCTGTCTCTCTCTCTCTCTCTCTCTCACACACACACACACACACACACACACACACACACACACACACACGCATGCACGCATGCACAAGCGAGCCAGGCTTCTAGTCTTACACCTGGGGAACAAAGGACCCTGTTAAGTTGTCGAGTGTGTACACACACACAGCCCTGGCTGTGGGGCAGGAAAGGTGACCCAGTAGAGAGTCCAGGGTTCATGTGGAGGCTGGGGGACAAGTGGGGTGCATGATCCAGACTGTGTGCTTGTCTGTGTGCGGAGTCGTGTCCTTTTTCTCCTCTGAGCACCTGTTATCACCATTTAAACACTGAGTACCAAGGGATGGGGGTACACACCTAACTCCTGCCCCTCCCCAGCCCTATTCTCAGAGCCCATAGGAAGGGAGGGAGACACAGGAGGCTGCCACCAAGCCTGCCCCACCAAGCAGGCTGGCCCTTGTAGAGGTTATCTCCCCCATCTCCCTACTCCTCTCAGGATACCTTCTCCATCTGTCCTAGTCAGCTGAGCCTCCTCTCCCATGCTTTATGGGGTTTCCATTTTCTTTTTTTAATACTCCTTCCTTCTGGGAAGTCCACCTTGCTACCTAACCACCAATCCTCCTGCTGAGGGGACAGCCAGTTTTCTTTCTTTTGCTGGAATGTACTCAAGTTGTTAAGTAATTTCAACCAATGAGAATATGTTGGGTAAAATTCTGTAGGCCACACAAAAGAAATATCAGACTTGATCCCTGCCCTCAGCAACTAGCCTACATGACCCAGAGAACATGACCAACTAGGATTGTATGTGAGGGCAAAACAGACTTTGGAACTTGGAGGGCTACAGAGATTGGAGGAGAGGTCACTGTGGATCCTTCTGTTGTGGATCTCATCTCCAAGGGCTTTGCAGGCCCGGCCTGAGGTTTGGACCTGGATAGACAAACATCTCTGCTCTTCCCCCGGGACTACCCCACCACTCTCCTTAGCAGATCCCCTGTACTGTCTGATTTCCCCAGGGAGAATAGCTCAGAGGGGTCGGGGTGGAGCCTGGGCCCCCTAGGACAGCTGGCTGACAGGGCCCCTCTGGGACTCAGGGCTGGACCCAGGCGTCCAGGAGGCGGGTGATACTGGAGCTGTGACAGTTGGTCCCTAGATTCCTCACCAAGTGGCGCCAGCTCTAGTTTCGGACTGGGGACGGGGAGGGGGAGGGGCACCTGGTGCCAGCCAGGGCTGAGTGTTCTCTTGGGGCAGGGAGGGGGCGGCAGTAAACATGCTCTTCGCAGGTTGCTG